AAAAAGTACAGCAATAGGGGAGTTGGGTTTCAGAGACTCTGCCCCCCCCCTCGACCCCCCTGCTGCCCTCAGCAGGCCAGGCCTCCCTGCCTTTCTTCTAGGTTTCCATCTCAGCTAGCTTTTGTTGTTTGACAGGTTTTTAAACTCTGCTTCTCTGGCTTTGCGTTTAAGATCCTTCAGAATCAAAGAGATGTTAATTATGAAAGTGGGTCAAATTTGGTATAAATTAACACTTGATCATGAGGTTAACTTATTATTTTTAAAAAGTAATTCAACCTCCAGTCAGCATTTGCCTCTGGAATTACACAGATGTCTGTGTTCATCACTCCTTTCTGTATTACTTATTTTTTTTAAATGGGCTTGAGTTGTTCTTGTTTTCAGAAAAAAAAAAGACTTTCAGGTGGTATGAGAAAATTATGAATACATTTTTATGAAAATTATCTCACAGGCTGTTTTTAATTAGCAACAACTTGGAAGTTTTACAGTGTCTCTTCAAATTGTAAGTAGAATGATTACCCATTTTGCCCCAAAACAGTCTCTCATAGTGCTTTCAAATCCCAGAGCCCTGGAATAGCCTGCCATTTTGTGCACGGATACCAGAAATAAATGTTCTAAACAGATTCAAAGTTGTAATGAAGCAAAAAGGACGCAGTTGTGAAAAAGGACGATAAACAGACTTGTAAACATACTGTAAAGGGTTCCTGTGTAATTATTAAACAACAACTTAAGTGGCTTTATAAAAGCCAATTTAAAATATTTACAAGTTTTAGATGACCATTTTTAAAAAGGTTTAAAAAAAAACATTCCCAGGGCACCTGGCTGGCTCAGTCCATGCGATTCTTAATCTCTGGGTCGTCAGTCTGAGCCCCATGTGGGGTGTAGAGATTACTTAAAATAAAATAAAATAAAATTAAGATAAAAAACATTTCCCTCTTCTTGAAGGAGGGAAATGCTCTTGCAAACTTTTTTTGTTTTACTATGAACACATGTTCACAGTAAAATAAGTCACATGCAATATAAAGCAAAACTAAGATTCCCCTATTCACCCCATCCCCAGTAAAATGACTGTTAATGTTTCTGGTGTTTCCTACGAGAAAATGATTTTTGGGGGGGCACCTGGGTGGCTCAGTCGGTTAAGCGTCTGCCCTCGGCTCAGGTCATGATCCCAGGGTCCTGGGATCCAGACAGCGTTGGGCTCCTTGCCCAGCGGGGAGCCTGCTTCTCCTTCTCCCTCTGCCCCTCCATCCCTGCTTATGCTCTCTCTCGCTCAGCTCTCTCTCAGCTCTCTCTCTCAAATAAATAACATCTTAATGATTTGTTGTTGTTGTTGTTTGTAAATAGGAGAGAGAGGGCTTGGTTGGTAAGGGGCCAAAGGGTCTTTGGGGTGGTGGGTATACAGATACTCCCATCCCATGACCATTTGTCAAGCAGTGTACTTTTTTCTGTTGGCACACTTCAATGAAGTTGTTAAAAATGGAGGGCCAGAGGAGAAACAAAGTAATCTGAAACTAAGACTAGAAAGAGTAGCAACTCTCTGAACCAGCAAGTCCTTCTGCAGAGTTTAAAGAGAAGGAGTGGTTTGAAAAAGAAACAAAATTGAAGCAAGTACCCAGCAGCACTCCCATGAACACTACAGAAAAGGTGTAAATATTGTTATCAACATTTTCCAGATAAGAATTCTTTTTAGTACCTAAGGGACAATTACCCACAGGCTGTTTTATACAACGAAACTGCTTTCTTCTCAGTCATTTTCAACATGGGCTCAAATTTCAATACTTTGCTGCCCAAATTGATCATATTTCAGGAATTCAGGAAATAAAAAAAGAGAACGTGATTTGATTTTTAACAGTATTCAACAAGAAACAGAACTGGAAGAATTTTTTTCAATGGGGTTTATTAAAGATGACAAAATACATTTCTCTGGTGTTCCTGTGGAAGCAAAGGGAACAGACTTCCTCAGACAGCTGTTCTGTGTCCCCTTCCACAAGCACCTCCTCTTTGCTTCTTTACGACTGTCAAGCTGTCTTTAGAAGGTTTATTTCTTGCATCAGTACACAAAATGCCATGCTATTCCAAGGCCATGGGGTAAAAGTTGGCACTAAGAGTCCATTTGGGGGCAAAATGGGTAAAGGGACGTTTAAAAATCTCTACACTGTCACATTCATAGGTACTTTTGCCCCCTTCCTGCCACACAGGCCCTACCTGAGCAGGAAGTTGATCTCAGGTGAAGAGACGGGGAGTCTGAGATGTAGACAGGACAAACAAAGGACCAGCCCTCATTTGCTGTTACTCCTCTACCTGACCATCTAGTTCAGCTCAGTGCTGTGGCCACCTTGGCTGACTGTCGCATGCATGCTGGCCTCCGCAGTGGGGCACTCAGGCTCCAGGGAACACTGGTTCAACTGTTGACCTGGACCCCAAACCACATCCCGCAGAAAGCCCTGGCTCCCTGTCCAGACGTCCTTCCTATCATTCCATGAGCACTGAGCAAATGCCTTAAGGTTCACAGCAGAACACTAACCTACCATTTGCTCCCTGGCTTTTCTGATGCATGGGTCTCTCTTTAATCAGCTAACCCAGAACTGGCCTGCCAGCTAGCTCCTATCAGAGGTCATGCTAAAAAAGAATGATATTTAGGGAAGGAGGCTTGATCTTGATGTTATCAAAGACACAAATACTTCCTGTGGGGAAAAAAAATCAGCATATGAACTTAGCCAGAAAGAGACCCACGAGGTCCAGCATTATTTTGCAGATCAGCATTTACTTGAAAGCAACGCACAGGGACATTAGCAAGACCAGCTTTGACACCCAGTCTATACCCCAAGCTTGCTTTCTGCAAACAAGGAACAGAAATGGAAAAACCATGAGGGCTTTGTGGATTCCTTCCAGAAAGAGATGTCGAGGGAAGATAATGGAGATAAAACTTAGACACGGAGGAGCAACCATTTAAGAGAAGACAATGCCTGATAGGCAGCCAGCTCTCTATTCAGGTAGGAGAGCTGTCACCAACAGCTGAGACCTCTGGGCTATTTCAGCAGTGCAAAGACATGTGCCAGCCTAAATTCAGAGCTCTGAGGATTCTTCTCTACACTGTGTTACCTGGGGCAGCTGGGTGTAAGGACGCTGTGTCCATCTGGTCTAAACACAACTCAGATTGCTAGAAACCAAAATGCTGCTAATAGTCTACTGACGCTCAGTCTTGGAGCCAAGTACCCAGTTAGCAATGACAGCATCACCCCGGTTCGGGTGTAAGTATCTTTTATCTCTCAAACCTCCTACCATTCAGGAATTTTCTTCCATCCCAGACTGAGGCATGCTGTTACTAAGCAACTTCAAGTCATATCTGAAGTCTGTGAGTGGGTGTGGTTAAAATAAACAGATGACAAAGTCACTGCAAGTTACAGAGAGGCAAAAGCTACACAAAGACCTTTTAAAAACATGCCTGTACTTTTTATTCTGGTCTGTCAACGCCACACCATGCCTTGACTTTGTTTTGTACAGGTTTTAACTGTCTTCATAGAATCCCAGCATTTCTGCAAGCTCAGTGAGAGGGAATTGCAGCCAACTGTGGCCCAACGGAGAAGGAGCTCAGGCACACTGCATTCTCCAGGGCCAATGTGCACACTGATTCTGATGGGTACAAATCCTAAATGGGGTTAAGTGAAGACCTATGTGCACTGCCATGACTTATCTGTCCATTTGAAAAGATGACCGGGACTTATATTTCAGCCACCCCTGAGTTTCTTCTAGTGTTTATTCCCTTCTTCTCCAAACTTAAGGCAATTCAGAGATTTTTGTGAGAGACAGAGAATTTGTTTTTGCTCCAGCCCCTTTTAATTCAGTGATGCTCAAGACTCCCCTCCTTCCTGCCTCGCAGGCCAAACAAATAACTTTTCACACTTATCTCTACATCACAAGATGTCATAGGAATTGTGGTATTTTTTTAGATGACCTGGAGTCACCTATTTTTCCTGGATCACTCAGTTAATCACTAACTAGAGGCTTTCTGCCTTCAGTCCTCTGGTGACACTTCTGCAACCAGCAATGTTCTCTCCAGTTCTGACACTCCAATTACCAACCACCCGGGCGCCACAGGGAGCTACTGTGTGGGGCTGCTATCCTTTACCATCAGGACAACTGAGTAACAAAATCTCATGGCTCAGGACTTGGCAGAGTAAAACAGATCAATGAAGCTACCAATGCCCACGTTTACTGCAGAATAACTCCTGGTCCTGGGCTCCGACACCCGCCGGGCACACACATATGTGTTGTCAGTGATCCAGAGAAGGCCCACAGTCTCCCTCATAATTTTCCCACGGGGACACACCACAGGAGCTACAGGCTCCCAGTCTTCCTTGAGAAGTGCCCGATCTGATGGAGGAGGTCAGAGCTGTCGTAGGGTCTGCATGGCCAATCTGTAAACTACCAAAAACCTAAGGAACTGACGCGTCTTAAAACCGAAAGGTACAGCGAGGACGAAAGAGTCGGAGACAACGAAGACAGAGCCCCAGGCTTTCAGAGTTCACAGGAGGGCAAAGAAGTCGGCAAATAACTACAATCCGTGCAACAAGTACCAAAGCAAAGGCAAGGCCAGGCGAACCGCTGACCTGTGAAAAGGCCAGGCCCTTCAGCAGGAAGGAGACCCGGAGAGAAACGAGGGGCAGTCTGACCTCTGGTCCCAAATTTCCCCCCACCAACTCGTCTCGGGGCCTGGCCGGGAGGCACCCAGGCAAAGAGGGCGCGGAACGGGGGGTGCGGTGCTGGGAAGCGCGCCGGTCCTCGCCCCGCGAACGCCCCGCGGGCCCTCTTCAGCCTCGGCCAGCGCGAGCTCTGCGGCCCTCTCGTCACCCCGCGGATACGTCTGGGCACCTAGAGGCGTGGGTCGCGCCCCGGCCGCGGTCGACTCGGGCCCTGCCTCTCCCTTCCGGCCCGGGGCCGGGCGGCTCCCTCCTCCCTCAAGACCCCTGCCCCACCGCAGGCCGGAGCCGGCGGAGCCTCACCTCGGACGGGAGCCGGCGGCAGCGGACGCCGTCGTGGGGCTCACAGCATCCTGGGGTCGCAGGCAGCCAAGAAGTGCGGCCGCGCGGAGCCCGAAACGAGTTATGTAACCGACAGGGGCCGCAGCCGGGACGGAGGCGGCGGCCCGCGGCACTTCCGCCTCCCGCGCCGGGCCGGCGGCGCAGGCCGGAAGCCCATTGGCCACCGGTCCCCACGTGAGACGACGCCGCCGCCGCTGCCCGACGCCGCAGCCGCCATTTTACGAGCGGGCAGGTCTCCGGTGAGGCCCGGCGGCGGGCGGCGGGCGGCGGCGCGGACGAGGCGGGCCGCAGGCCAAGCACTCCTGCGCTGGCGGACGTGGGCGCTGGCGGACGTAGACGCTCGCGGCGCCCCCTCCCCTCCCCCGGTGGAAGCCGGCCGGTTGGTGCCGTCTGGGCCTGGCTGAGTGCCCCATACGCAGAGCGTGGGTGCTCCCGAGACAGGGATTGCTCCTCGTCCTCCAGTCTTGCCTGGGCTGACGCTCCCCTCGCTTGGGCTTGGGGCTCGGCCTTTTCCATCCCTGGCGCCCCGCGGCGCATCGAGCCGGGAAAGCGTGGTGGTGTGGACGCGGCCGAAAGCCATTCCGTCTCCGCACAAAGGCTGTGGAGGGCTGTCGCCGTGCCAAAGCGTAGGGGTCGGTCGCACTCAAGGTGCAGGAGGGTCTGTATCACAAGATCGAACTCAAGTTCTCTTAGTAGGGAACCCGAGTTGAGCAACATCTGATAGTAACTTTAAAGCAGGAATTTATTCTTTGCCTTCAAATAAAAGTGGTCCACATAGCCAAAGGATGGACTAAGAAGGACCTGCTTACAGCCAAAGGCTAGAATGATCCACCCTAAAAGGATTTCATTTGTATCCAAGAGAATAAACGTTATCACAGGTCAAAAGTCTAAATAAAATAACACTATCTTAGAAAAGTTAAAAGCATATTCTTTTTAACATTTTTAAAAGGAAAAACTAAAGAGGTGAGAAGTTTTAAAAGTAACTGGTATAAATAGATTAAGAGTAATATGGGGTGCCTGGGTGTCTCAGTCTGTTAAGTGTCTGCCTTCATGATCCCAGGATCCTGACATCCAGCCCCACTTCCCACTTCCCTCGCCCTGCTCAGCCAGGAGCCTTCTTCTCCCTCCCCCTCTGCCCCCTCTTCCACACACCCCCCCATTGTGTGCTCTCTCAAATAAAATCTTAAAAAAAAAATAGAGGTAACAAGGCAATATAAAATAAGGAATAATCTCTTGTTGTCTACATAGTATGATGTGTAGAGGCTGATGGAATCTTGATTTATATACAGCAAGTATTTATATTTACGTTTTGTAAGTTTCTGTAAGTTCCTGTTTTTTTAAGAAAGCTGAAAATAACACTTGAACAAAATGAAAATTGATATAATTCTCTTTACAGCTCTGCACTGTTACATGTTTAAGGACCGCAAACATGCTATTGTAAGCAAAGATGCCGTGGTGAACTGTGTTTGGGCCCATTCAGAACATTTTGAGGACTTCACACAATTATATTTAGTGTGTCATTATTAAATTATTTATAAATTAAATTTGTTGCAAAAAAAAAAAAGATTTAAGAATGATTAGAAAGATCCACACAGTACAGCAAGATAAATGAGGGCCAAACAGGGTGTGGTGATGTGGGTGTGTAAAATGCACTTTGAGGTCCTGTATACTTTCTAGAGGTGGGCTGAGACTTCAGCTCGATCTTTCCAGAATCCACTTCCAAGAGAACAACTGGTTACAAGATTTAAGGGGTCAATGTGTCAGAGGTGGCTAACTGCTACCTACTGTCTATTGTCCCACAAGTCTTTCTTCTCCTCCTTCTCCAATAACTGCTTTATCACATCTTCTTGTAGTAACAGAACCCCACTCCCTACAGCAAGCAAATAGCTGTCAAGGTAGGGTTGTATTTCTCAGCCTCCCTTGCAGCAAGGTGAGGCTGTATGCCAAATTTATTACCAATGGACAAGAGTGAAAGGACATAGGCAATGTCTGTGTCCTTAAAAGCAATTTGTGTAAATGTTACCAATTGATGGAGCTAAGTTGGCAGGTACATAAGTGTTTGCTGCATTATTCTTTCAAATATTCAGGTTTGAATTTTTTTTTTTTATTTGTGTGAGACAGAGACAGGGGGAGTGGCAGACAGAGGAAGAAGCAGGCTCCCCACTAAGCAAGGAGCCCGATGGGGGACTTGATCCCAGGACCCTAGTATCATGACCTGAGCTGAAGGCAGACGTTTAACCAACTGAGCTGAGCCACTCAGCCATCCCAGGTTTGAATTTTTTTTTTAAAGATTTTATTTATTTATTTGACAGAACGAGAGCAGGAACACAAGCAAGGGGAGTGGGAGAGGGAGAAGCAGGCTCCCCACGGAGCAGGGAGCCCGATGCGGGGCTCAATTCCAGGACCCTGGGATCATGACCCGAGCGGAAGGCAGACGTTTAACGACTGAGCCACCCAGGCATCCCTGAATTTTTTTTAAATAAAGAGATGAGGTTTAAAAAAAGGAAGTTGCTTGCTTTCTTCCTCTTCTTTCTCCCTTTCCCTGTGTTCCCGTCCATGGAAAATGGATGCAGTGATATACCCCCTCAGTAACACAGGAGAAGTGAAACCTTACCTATCTCCTTGCTACTTAAAGTGTGGTCTGTGGTCCAGCAGCATCAGCATCCCTGGGAGCTTGTTAAAAATACGGAACCTCAGGCCTCAGCCAGATTGAATCAGAATTTGCATTTAACTAAAACCTGTGTTTAACAGGATCCCTAGTTGATTTATAGTTTGAGAAGCCTTAAAACATTGGAAGTTTGAAACATTGAAACATTAAAGTTTGAGAAGCCCACCCTATGTGATGACATTTTTGTTTCCAGGGTTCTATGCACAGTACTTTAAGATGAACTGTCAAAACTGAGAAGGGCATATACATCCATTCAAACTTTAAAAACACTGTTTTTAAACACAAATGAGAAAATATTCTCCCAAAGGCTTATTATTTGCCAAGTACTGCATTAAGCTTCTAACAGGGGATCTCTTTTATCCTCAGGACAAGGAGGTACCACATCTTACGACATGTTACTACAAGGGTTATTCAAGGTAGTTGTCCTCTTAAAAAAAAAAAACATTCCACCCCCAAAATGGTCTCTAATTGGTTTAATCAATTAAGGTCAGCCCCTTGGGGCGCCTGGGTGGCTCAGTCCGTTAAGCATCTGCCTTCAGCTCACATCATGATCCCAGGGTCCTGGGATCGAGTCCCACATCGGGCTCCTTGCTCAATGCGGAGCCTGCTTCTCCCTCTGCCTGCTGCTCCCCCTGCTTGTGATTGTGTGCGCTCTCTCTCTGACAGATAAAAAATAAATAAATCCAAGGCTCTGGTATATAGATAAGAAATAAGGTCAGCCCCTGTCTCTTGGCTCAGTGATTTGGGTAGTGTGGTCGTCAGTCTCCTCCAGTTCTGTTTCATCAGGAGCTGCCTGTTTTGAGCACTCTGCTCCTCCTCCCTCTGGCTGCAAGGCCTCTTCTGCTGTACCATTATTTTTCTCTTGCCTACTCACGGCCATGGGTCAAGCAGGGAGAAACCTAGAGGCACTACTCTCGAGGAGAGCCAGCAATCTCTACTCCTGTAGCTTAGCCACATTCCAAGCTGCCAAGCAGAGGCAGTACTCCAGGAAGCACTTGAAGGGAAACCCTCAATTCCTGCCTCCTCAGATGCAGAACCCTCTCCCAGCCTTGGAGACAGGGGAAGGTAACCAGGCTTCTCTGGGCCAGGGCGAGCAGCAAGCCACCATCGACATGGGCTGCCTGTGCCCTTCCCAAGCCCTGGCTTAATTACTGGGCTAATTTTGGAAGTAATATATACTCACGATTCTATGAATCTCTAAGGCCAAGATCTCTCCAGAAATTAAGGCATTTAAATTTCCACCTCTCCCTTCTGGTCCCTGGGGTCTCATCTGGCCCATAGAAGAACAAAGTTGGGTACTACTCTTTTATTCCAAGCATGGGTGATAGCACTTATCTAGGGCCCTCCTCACTACTCTGTCAACAAATGGGCTAGGGTTGGGGAGGAGGATAGCAGGGACCGGCAATCAAGGTTTCCCCTGCAATACCCACACATTCAGGTTATAAAAAGCATTGCAACTAACAACTTTGTACAGAAACCTGCACTCATTTCAGATTGTTTTTTTTTTTAGGGAACAATTCCTAGAATGTTGGTTAAAAAATTTTTCTTTAAAGATTTATTTATTTTAGAAAGAGAGAGCTGGGGGAGGGGCAGAGGGGGAGAGAGAATCCCAAGGAGACTCCCAATGTGGGGCTCAATCCCACAACCCTGAGATCATGACCCGAGCTGAAACCGAGAGTCGGACACTCAACCGACTGAGCCACCCAGGTGCCCCCCAAATTATTTTTTAATTGACCACATTTCAATTTGGAAACAAACCTCTGCCCAAAAGTTTTTACTAGTTTATTCTGACACCAAGAGTGAGAAAGCTTCTGTCACACATATCCTCACCAACATGGGGTATTATTATTTTTTAATTAAAAGATTCTAGGGCGCCTGGGTGGCTCAGTTGGTTAAGCGACTGCCTTCGGCTCAGGTCATGATCCTGGAGTCCTGGGATCGAGTCCCGCCTCGGGCTCCCTGCTCAGCAGGGAGTCTGCTTCTCCCTCTGACCCTCCCCCTCTCATGCTCTCTCTCTATCTCTCATTCTCTCTCTCAAATAAATAAAATTTAAAAAAAAGATTCTATTTACTTATTCATGAGGGGGGGGGGCAGAGGAAGAAGCAGCCTCCCGGCAGAGGAGGGACTGATGTGGGACTCGATCCCAGGACCCTGGGATCATGACCTGAGCTGAAGGCAGACGCCTAACCAACTGAGCCACCCAGGTGCCCAACATGGGGTATTATTATTCCTTACCTCTCTGCATCTGGGTGAAATGATCTCATAATTTTAATGTGTATTTCTTGGTAAGTTTGATCACTTTTCCCTATTTTTATTAACCATTTATATGTCTTCCATATATGATTTTTACAGATGTTTCCAACATATTTTCGTTTGGGCTTAACTGGGGGGTG